TTCCTTTGGCGGCGAGAAAACAGTGGGTCCCTCCAGCCAATTGGTGACAACGCCCGCTGATGTGCTGCTATGTACTAATTTCCCCTACAGTATACTAGATTCAGGACAGCCGGCAGTTTCTTACTATTAAATTGTCAGATATATACTTGTTTGCAGTTTTCGTTTTTTCTTTCATGGAAAAATGCCAACGAAATTTCAAGAGATCCATTCTGTAGGTATGCAAGCATGTACAAGGCCCATACTAGCCACTCACTCCAAACAATGCCCGCCCCAGTCCCTACCTATTCCTCCCGTCTATTTCAATAATGATACAACGAGGCTCGCTGTAGTACTGGTGCGCTTGCTTGTCAACCAACTCTCGTGTGAATGTGAAAAGCTAACATGTACATTCCTCCGCTTTCTTTCTTTTCGTTCTCCCAAGTCCCAGCCTCAATTCGATATCAGTACAAGAGTAGAGTAGTACAGTTACAGACCTAATGAGCCAGGTATAAAGTGTCATCACAAACACGTCGGGGACCATGACCTCTTTCTCTTTCACTCTTTCATCCTTAATCTTTTCTCATCCTCTTCTTGAACAACAAATAGATAAAAAATGCGTGCAAGAAACGCCCCCCCATTCTCCTTGGTAAACATAACATTTGGTGGTACAGAACAAATCAACATCAACAACATTGAGTTGGGGGATAATGGCTAAAACAACAACAACAACTTCCCTACTCCTTCTCCTTATTTACACCCCTCGCACGTCTCATCTACCGCCGCCATTCTGTTACTTCATCCCCTCATTCCCATCACCTTTGCTCCTTGCTCTCACCTTCCTTGTTGCCCGTAGCGTCAGCTTTCCCTTCCCTCATGGCCGGCTGCGGCCCCCGCTCCTCGGGAGTATCGGTGTTCTCGGTAGGGAATGGTGGTGGGGCGCTCTTGCGCTCGCCGTGGAAGTACTTGGAGAACTCCTCCTTGTCAGGCCACTGGCGGGGGCCGAGGAGGCGGACGAGGTCGTCACGCGACAGGACCTCCTTCTTGAGGAGCTCCTCGGCCACCATGCCAACCTCCTTCTTCTTGGCCGTCAAGAGGTCCTTGCACTGCTTGTAGGCCTCGTCGACGATGCGCCTCACCTCGCTATCGATGGCCTGCGCCGTCGACTCGGCGAACGGTTTCTGGAACCGCTCCGCGCTGTCGTCAAAGTGCAGCATGCCCACCTTTTCGGACATGCCCCACTCCGTCACCATAGCGCGCGCCATGCGAGTGACCTTCTTGAAGTCGTCGCTGGCACCCGTTGTCACGACGGGGAAGTGAAGCTCCTCGGACACGCGGCCACCAAGAGTCATGGCCATGCGGTCCATCAACTGCTTGGTGTTCATGAGGTAGGCGTCACCAGATGGCAGGTACTGAGCGTAGCCGAGTGCGCCCTGGCCACGAGGAATGATGGAGACCTTGAGAAGAGGATCGGCCCACTGGAAGAACCAGCCGCAAATGGCATGGCCGGCCTCGTGGTAGGCAACTGTCCTCTTCTCCTCGGGGCTGAGAACCAGGGACTTGCGCTCCAGACCGCCAATGACACGCTCGATAGCCTGCTCGAAGTGGATCATCTCGACCGTCTCCGCATTCGCTCTGGCAGCTATGCACGTTATTAGCACATGACATCAAGCGGGGATACGACAGTCAAGGTCAAAAAACTTACCGACAAGAGCAGCCTCGTTGACGACGTTGGCAATGTCAGCACCAGCGAAGCCAGGAGTCAAGGCAGCGAGACGGCCAGTGAGGAACTCGATATCCTCCTTGGTCACAATTTTGGCCAGATGGACCTTGAAGATGTCCTGACGACCCTTCATCGTAGGCCTATCAATGTTGATGTGTCTATCGAAGCGACCGGGACGCATAAGAGCCTTGTCCAGGATGTCGGGTCGGTTGGTACCGGCAAGGACGACTACCTGCTCAGTTGTATTGAATCCATCCATCTCTGTAAGAATCTGGTTGAGGGTAGCCTCGCGCTCGTCGTTTCCTCCACCCCTGAAGCCGCCGTCGGATCGAGACCGACCAATGGCATCGATTTCATCGATGAAGATGATGCAGGGAGCGTTCTTCCGCGCCGTGGCAAAGAGATCACGGACACGGGACGCACCAACACCGACAAACATCTCCACGAATTCGGAACCGCTGACACTGAAGAAGGGAACCTGCGATTCACCGGCAGTCGCCTTGGCAAGCAGAGTCTTACCGGTACCGGGAGGACCAGACAGGATAGCACCACGAGGGATCTTGGCACCGAGCTTCTGGAAGCGCTCGGGCTCCTTGAGGAACTGGACAAACTCCATAATCTCGACCTTGGCCTCATCCATACCCGCGACATCAGAGAACTTGACCTTGACCGCAGTATCGTGGTTGAACATCTTGGCCTTGCTCTTGCCGATGCCAAACATGCCACCGGGGCCGCCAGCGCCGCCAGGACCTCTCCTGGAGATGTAGGCAAGCAAACCAACAAGCACCAGGGTAGGGCCAAAGGCAAGGATGATGTTGCCCCAGCTGAATTCGTTGGCATAGCTGACAGGTATCCTCTCAGCCGGCGGAATTCCAAGCTCAGCCTGGGCCTCGTCTAACCTCCTCTCGAAAGCATCGATAGAGCCAATGGTGAAATAGTAGTGGAAGCCGGGAGCAGCGGCGGGCGAGTCGGGATACATTTGCCTGACAGCCTCCTTGTTGAGATCCACGATGACGCGATCCTTAACGACCGTGAGCTTCTCGACCAGGCCCTTTTCCAAAAAGTTCTTGCGCAGTTCCTGCCAGGTGATCTCGCGAGAGTCGTTGCCGGGGAACAGCACCTTGTAGGTCCAGAACAGAACAGCGGTACCAATAACGTAGTTCATGAGGCCGCCGTCAAAGCCCTGGGGAGGCTCTTGACCACCTTGGCCCTGAGCACCAGGCCTCTTGGGCCCTTGCTGGCCTTGCTGCTCACCACGCTGCTTTCCTTGTTGGCCGTCGGGCTGCTGTTGGCCGGCTTCCTTGCCTTCGCGTTGCTTATTCTGCTCCTCCGACGTCTGCGCCTTCCTGTCCGAATCTGACATGTTTGAAGTGAAAGTGTTGTCATTGAAGCCACTGGCGATAGACTTTGCGTTTGGGTTCTTCTTCATGTATTCGACCTCATGTTCACCGAGATCCTTGGCCAGCATAACCAGAGACTTCATGCACCTGAGCTGCTCAAAGATGGTGATGTTGCCACTGATCCACTTTTTCAGAAGCTCTCGCGTCTCCTTTGGGCAGCCGTAGTGCTTGATGCCTTGGAGGATAACATCCTGGCCCTCAATCTTGATTCCCGTCTTCAGTGCGGCCTTTTTAATGAAGGCATCGAAATCCTTGAGATCCTGCTTCTCCATGCGCACCCATCCTGGGGGCAGGGGGCGTTTGGGCTCGAAATCTTGCTCGTCCTCCTCGGGCTTGGGCGACTTGTTGTCGTCATCTTTCTTGGATTCGGGCTTCTCGGTCGATTGTGTCGAGTAGAGCCGGGAGGTAGGTAGCTGGCGAGCGGACGAGAGGGAGGCCCGGGGGAGGCGGGACGCACGGTATGCGGGCCGGGTGGTAGTCCGGAGGGCCTGCTTGGCGCAAAGCGCAAGCTGCTGGGACGATTGACGGAATCTGACCGCCATGGCTGGAGAGACGGTTAGATATGGGAGAAGAGCTGGAGGGGTGCTCTTCGGCTTGGAGGAGGGGTAGGTCAAGGGTGGTGGTGTAGCGCGCTGCGCGGATGGGATTCCAACTGAAGCTGGAGGTTAGTGCGGGCACAGCCCAATCGAAGAAAACAGGGATCCAGCACTACAAGTAAAAGATGGATGTGCAGCTGGTCGTCTCCTACTGTAGCTGCCATGCACTTTTGGCGACGTGAATTGGGTTGGTGAGGGCCCAGGAAGTCGCGGGAGCTCGGTGGTGTGGTGAGCTTCCTTCAGTTGCAATGGGACGGGACGTTGAAGGTTGCGACTGCAGGTAGTCGAAGGTGGCGGTAGGTAGGTAGGCAGGCACGTAACGGATGATGTACTGCCCCTGCGATCATGTAGTGTACCTTGAATGGTGTAGTGGCTGGCGGCGGTAGAGCTACGGAGCCGGCGAGCTGGCCTGACTGGTGACTGACTGACTGACGCTGCACGCAAAGCAGCTTCCTCCACCTGGTCCGTCCGATATGGCCGACTGGGGGGCGGCACTGGAGAAAATCAGGTCAAAGCCAGGGCATTCCATTTGCACGCATCATGCGGCTAAGGACGGACCCCACCCGCCCGTAGGTTACAGCGAGTGAGTGCTCCACTCCACACTCACTCGGGTCGGAGCTGAATGCCTCTGACGTCCGCGGACCCTGAGAACTTCGGCGCCCGACGTTTGCTACCTATGTACACTACACTATGATCTTCACAGTTGCGTCACGTGTCAAGACAGCTTACCTACCCGTTTGCTCCAAACTCCAACAAACAGAATGCTCGGAATAGCTTCGCTTTGTGCCTTCAACTGATAATTCTAAAACGGTATCCAAATTACAGCACAGCATCTTACTGGCCAGCCTCACCATCAACAATCACCATCACCAATTGTAACTCCCCCTTGCCATCCACAACTTCCCATAAATGCCTTGCGCACTGGTTCTCCACCATGGAGATTTTCCCAACAAGTCGCCAATTCTCCAGGATCCACAGCTATACATATCCAGCCTCTGCTGGATTCCCATCGTTTCTGGACGTCGAGAAAAGGGAGCCATGCATATGCTGACATGTGTACCATATTGCGAGTACAAAATGCTTCTACTTCTTCAAAAAAAAACACACGAAAATTGTGAGTCAAAACAGCTTGGTGACATGCTGTGACCGTCCAGAATGTAAGTGTTAAATAGCAACAGAGATGAGAGTTTTCCCAGCATGAGTTTGCATATGCATGCCCCCCTTATCAAAGACCGTAAAAGTCCCTTCAAACCAAAGTACCTAGGTATACCCTTCCCTCTCCATGGTAGCCCGCTTCCCAATGCAATACAATGCATAAAATGTGGTCGCATCTTTTATCCAGTCTTGCCTGTCCTCGTGAATTCCAGCCTGCTTTTGTCTGGCTTCAATGACCCTTCTTCATTAGACTCTCCACCTGATCTCACTAGTGGTTCCCATCGCTTTGCTCGAGATGACCCTTTCACCATCACCGCTGATGTGATACATCGCTGCCAAAGTTGCCATTTTCGACACTAGGATATTCACCACCGCTCATCTCTGCCCAATTCCAGTCCAGTGTTACTGGTAAGCTGAACAAATCTTGCGGCAACATCGGCTGTTGGTAAATGGATCTTGGGTCGCCCGCAGACGGGTCCGCCAGCCCATCCATCACAAAATCGGCAGGATTCATATTCGCAATGGCACCGAATCCAGTAAGATCAGCCCAATTGCCGTAGTCAATGCCTTCCATGCCAGTTGGGGCGTCAGTCCATCCGTTGGGCGTCATCCCCGGTGATGGACTCTGGCTGAATGGACTGTGGCCGCTCTGTGGGGTGCGGGTGCTTTGCACACCTGGCGAAAGATGATCTTTCACTGATCCCGAGTTCGGCTGTGGTGTGGCTGCACTGCCTGCTGTCGGAGGCCGCGGCGTCATGGTTGCGTTCGGATTGAATGAAGAGGCGTGGTCCGCGGATGCTGTAGTGCTCGATGCTGCCTTTCTACTAGATGCTTGCTCCTGCATCTTACGCTTGCGTCGTGACGAATTCTCTTTCTCGGCCTTGTCAATGACAACCTTTGCGATGCGCTCGAATTCAGCGCAAATACCGAGCATGCGGTGCACACCGCCGGTTTCGGCCTCATGACCAAGCATGGACAGGAAGGTTACAACCACACTCATCAGTTTTGCGTCCGATCGCGCCCTAGGGTCCAAGGGATTTTGGAGGATGTTTCCGAATAGCGTCACCAAGGCGGAGACAGGGAAATACAGCACCATCCTGTAACAGCTATCAGTAAGTGTGTGGATGGTTCTTGATTCAGAGTTAGACTTACCAGACGCATGAAAAATCGCCTTGAGGGATATACTTGAGCAGGGAAATTGAGGCTCTTGCGGCTGATGTACACAGTGCTGCTGAAGAGAAGATTCTGGGGTTCAGAGGCCTGGCATTGAGGCCTTGAATGGCAAAGTTCGACAGGCGACTAGTCCAGTAGCCGTGGTGAATAGACATACGATGAATCGTTGTCAAGCAGTTGTAGTAGGTAAAATGCAGCATGACGACGTGAAGGATCAGTGGTGTATGGGATGCCTTGATTTCATGCTCGGGTCGGAAGTCGATGGGAATGCTGTCTTTCCAGTCTTCGAGTTCCTGATCCAACTCTCCAATGGTGTTCAACAATTCACCATCCGACTGCTTCGTGGCCTTCGTTGCGTATAGTCTTTTATACACCTTGCTCTCAACGATGGAGATCTCAACCATCTTTCTGAAAAGATTCATCTTTCCTTTCCCATCAGCAAGGGGAATGTTACCGATGCCGTCGGCGGGATCTTCGTCAGGAAGGTCAACGTTCATGTCATCATCGTCTTGCGCGGGCGGCCGTCCAGATCGTAAGCAAAGGTCCTTATCCAACATATAAGCGATCCAGAACACCCGTTTCCGCTGTTCGATCTCGATTGGGTTCAGGTTGAAGCCGGTTCCGCGCTTATGGAGGCCGATAGTATGTGAAAGGCGAATTGCTGTGGCAATGAGAAGGAACGACGGCTGTGGGTTAGGAGTGCCCTGCATAAAGAGAGACATACCCAGGAGAGCCTGGACACTAAGTAGATCAGTATTGCGCATCGTCAGCTCCGAGAAGACTGCCATGGCATTCTTCATATAACCCCAAGCCTTATCATCCTCTTCCTGTGGAACCAAATTGCTCATCACCCGCAGACGGTAAGCGATAGCCAGCGCCACGTTCAAGCTTGCCCACCATCCGGATCCCTGATACGGGTCAGAGGAATACTGTCTTTCGACCAGATGCATAAATGTTGGCTGATGGAACAGCGGAAACATGCAGTTGAAGTTCTCAAAATAGTCTTTGAGAAGCGACATAGCTTCCGGCTTGGGAGGTAGCTCTTTGAAAATTACGCGGCGGAACAGATCGCCAAAAATGTCGGGTTTCCATCTTGTCCATTTGTGGTCGTCAACCGAAACATCAGAGATCATCTGCTGGAATGAGTTGTCACCCATCTTCTCATTGACCCACTGGATGCCCTTGGGAGAAAAAATTGAGAAGCCGGAAGATGACCCTTTGACAAGTTAGCAGTGACACCATCAACCCAGGGCCTACATGACAAGGACATACCAATGTAACGAGTTTCGCCATTGTTGTTTGTGACGAGGGAGCACATCATCTCAGACAGGGCTGAAACCTCCTGCTCTGTTTCCTCCTTCTCGACTTTCTCGGGAGCTATCGAGGCCCGCTTCTCTCCCTCTTTATCTCTGGGCGCTTCAGGCAAAGGCGAGGCCAGCGAGCTGCGCGGCGTCGAGTTATTTCCATCTTGTCCCGATGCTGCCTGAGATGGTGAGGTAGGGTTGGAAGCGGCAGCCTGTGAAGTTTGTCTCGACTGTGCTGTCTTCTCCGCGAGCTTTCTTTCAAGCGTTCCGAGGTCGGTGGCTCCGTTATCATCGTCTCCGAGCAAACCTGTCGGACTGGTAAGTATCGTGCCAAGCTGGAGGCGAGCTACGGGTAAATACCTGATAGTCTCAACAAATGTTCCATGCGGCCTAACCGATTCTCGAGACCTTCAATGTACTTGGCACTGCAAGACACTCAACGATGAGCCAATGTTCACATGCCTGAGCATCTGCGAAGGTGTGACATACCCCTTGGGCGGACTTCTCTTCTTTTCCACTTGGGTGAAGACACAATCGGTCTTGTAGTTTCTGCAGTGCGTGCAAGCTGGCAGCTTTCCATCACACTTGATCTTCTTCTTTCTGCACATATCGCAAGCCTAGGGAATTGGGAAGGAGCTCTGTTAGCGACGGTTCTTCGATGGACACTCCCCGGGTTTCTGATCTTGGCCAATGTCTAACCATGACTCACCCTTGCTATCCTCCTCCTCTTTGCCTCGCTTGTATCATCAAGCAGCCCATGCTCACCAAACATTTGTGCGACAGCTAGGTCATGTGGAAGTTGTTGGATGGGTATGCCATGCTCCGTGTAGCCCCCGAAGATCTGAGGCGGCTGGTTCAACAGCGGTGGAGGTGCCATGGGCATCTGAAAACCGCCGTGGAGGTGATCCATGGTTGTGGTGGTGGTGGTGGTGGCAAGAGACAGCCGTCGCCGTGTATATTACTTTGGAGCAACACAGTATATATTGAAAATCGGGATCGTCTGGTCGGCTATGAAGTCGGGGGTCGGTCAGATAAGTGGTTTTTGCCCTTCACTTATCGGCTGTGACGTTGGTGGTGTCGAAGGGAGTCGGATATTATGTATTAGGGAGAACGTGGAAAGCCGTTGACAAGCAGGGGAGATATGGCGGCGGGCGGGTACGTAGTAGTAAATAGGCCTTACGGGGACTGGAGTCGAGGCTCGAAAAAAAAGAAAATAGGCGCCCGGGGTACAGGGGCAGGAGAGCTATTACATAGCACGCAGGGGCAGCAGGTGGTTGTAGTAGCTGGAGCCGGGAGGCCTTTCACACACCCTCCTCACACCTCTCACACCCTTCCACCTCACACCGTACGGTGAGTGGTCTGTGGTATCTTGGGGGAGTGGTCGTTCTCCTATCGGACGGTCCCGTCTCGGTCTGGTGAACGTGAAGGACAACGTGGGACTTGACTAGCCCGCTTCACACCACTATTGTCAGACTTGACGGTCGAATCAAGGGGCCGGAAAATAGACCGGATCGCTCGGAAATCTGGGGTCGTGTTTTGGCTTTTCCTCGGCACTCACTCGATGTCTTTACTAGAGGTATGTGTGTATGTATGTGGTTGTGCGCCGAGTAGTCCAGTGAGATTTGAAGCGGAGGAATCTATCCGCAAGCGTCTCCTTCTGCGGGCTGTTGACCAGTATAGGTACACGTAAAGCCGTTGAGGCTCCTTGTGGGCTAGGGTAGGCCGTGGTAGGCAATGGGTAGGTGATCCGTAAACGGTTTCCAACGGCGAAATGGAGCTGGACATAGAAGCTCCAAGCTTGATAGGATTCTTGTCGGACGATTAGTGGCTCCAGTCGTATGCTAGTGCGCTATAGCAGGAAGCTGGGTGCTCGGCTGCCCCTGTTTGGCCGTGAGAGATTCGCTGTTCAAAGGGTCCAACAAGTGAGAGTGTGGTGGTAGGGCTGAAGGGCTTGACAGCTTGAACCCCGACCGGGCAGACGAGATTGATACTACTCGCAGGTGGTGATGGGATGTCTGAAGAACAAAACGAGAAGATGCAGACTGAGAAGTGGAAACTAGTATAGAGGTATCAATTCCATGTCAACCGAGCATCAAAGTACGGGGTGCACGAAAAAGGAAGGACCTGCGTCGGACACACGGGCGTTATTCGCAGCGAGCATGGACGCTGATAGGCTCGCCGTGTTAGTGTTTACAGCATCATGTGCGAGGGGAAGTGAACTGTAGACTAAGAGACTGCAGTGACTAACGTGAAGTGCAGTGAGCTCAGCTGCAACTTCTACTTTGTAGTTCTTGGCATCACTCGACGTGCACTGTGTGGCCCAGACGTACCCTTCCGTCATTCACGACTGCTACTGCCTCCTACAGTGTACCATATTATATATAACTGGGGAGAACTAATTCGAGCCGAGGACGAAACGTGAAACTTGCCACTCGATTCCACGTTGTTTTGAGAGGCACGATGGTGAAGAGCTATATCATCAAAGGAGTAGGCCATCTTCCGACAACCCATGCGATCAGTACGTCTAAAGCATTGCGGGGGGAAAAGAGTCGGGCATCAATGACAAACTCCCCTCAGATCCCCCCTTCCTCAGACAGGTCGATACATAGGTACTGTATCATCATCGAACACATCGATTAGGCCCTGGCTCCCTGGGTAGTATAGGTAGGTAGGTACTAGTGTATCTACACACACCATAGCCCAATCCAAGAAAGGGGTTCACCTTCCGCCATCACACGTGCTGGCTCAAGGCACCGGAAGCTGTTTCTGCATCACAACGTCCGTTCTATAAAATCCCCGATATGGTGGACTCGGCAAGCACCTGCAATTTAGTACATACGCGTACATAGCGGGACTGAGGCCCTGTTTCCAAGCCCCAACTGCGGGATTGCAAGCACTCGGAGTCCGCTGACGGCCTTAACCCCGAACTGTAATTCGCATAACTTGTGACGTAAATAGATAGATACTAGGGATTGGTGGGTTTTATACAATGCGGCACGGCGTGGCACGATAACTTCACCAAAGACGAAGCCATCATAGTAGTATCTCATGTCTGTCTCCCATCAACAACATAGGTATGTACATAAAAAACAGCTGGGCGTCCAAAGAATACCTAGGTAGGTACCTTCTCCAAATTCCCCAGATCCCTCCGTCCTCTTCACAATGTTCCCCAACAATGACATTTGTCAGCCATTTACTCCGCTATCGTGAACAATCCTGCAATTATTACCCGTCTTCGCCCGTCCGTCCAAGCGCACGGGCAGCAGCCACGAGAAATTACACCGATTAGACACCCGTGCAGTGGGAGCGCAGCCAGCTCCGAGCGGGGAAGCCGTTATACCTATTACATACATACACTACTAGTAGCTGTCCATGTCCGACCGTTTGCATTCTCTCTCTCGTTCGTTAGCTCGTCTCGTCCGCCGAACCCCCTCCATCGCTTGATGCTACCTACCGACGCTTAGTTTTACTCTGAATAGCTCCCGTCCATTAAGTTCTTCGGTTTCATCAGTGTCTCAACTCCTTGCTCTGGTTACTTTGGTTGCTGCTTTGCGTGGCTTTCTCTGGGTTAGTTTATTCTCCCATGATGCGGAATGATTTTTTTTTTTTTCGAAGAAGTAGGAACCTTCGGGCATGTTCCGTCCTGCATAAAGATCTACATCATCACTGCCCTCAATAGAAAAGCTGCTGGGACCCTCTCAGGTATGGGGTGCTGAACGCAAGGCCTCGGTTCTGTGTTATTGCTGGCCTGATTATATCATAGCACACTTGATTTGTAGCAGCACCTACTGCTAACCGTGAAGAGACACGGATGGTTCTAAAGGGACAGACAATAAACGAAGCGAACCGTGAATCTTGATGCTATGCTATCAAGTTGCTTGATGTGATACGATAATCACGAAAGTTTTGGCGGCGCATGGCGGTTGGGTTGGCAACCACTCAGGTTGGCATGACACTCCTGGACACACGACGACGGATGGAATATTTTCTCTGAACTTTACGTACCTTGTCATCATTGAAAACAGATTTCGTCCTCGCCATGTCTTTCACTTTTCTCTTCGCCTCCTATCTTCCTCTCATTACGCAATTCGACCACCATATACGACCGACCCCGTTCGCCACTTTGGTGCAGCACAATGATCCTATCGCACAGCTCTTCTTACTTTACACCGATGCCGCTCACCCTTGATCAACGCCTCCCATACGTTGGCACAATGTGCATTGTGTACGCAGGAATAGCAGACGAGCATCCGGCCACGCTGTTACTCCATCTATAATTCCGATTGGACGATGCGTATTGCTCTAACATGCACTGGAAAATCGCCGAGAGTTGTTGCACGATACGTGCCAGATGGCGAGATAATTGCTCCTTACTGGATCTACGGTTCTATCCAACAACTATATGGAGAGAATGGATTCAGGAGTATTCGAAGATCGGTACGTAGGTACGCAACAGACACATAGCAACAGCTATAACAGGCAAGAATCGGCGTCAAGGGGCGCGGCGTGGTGGTGAGAGTCGTTCAGTCCAGTTCAGTTCCAGACAAACCATCGGCTTTTCTGCTGCACTTCACTTCCTCTTTTTTTTCTCGCTTTGCTTTACTTGCACTGCTTCTCTTTCCTTTCCCTATCTTCACATCTATCATGTAGCCCGAGGTATATGCCGACCTGGTCTCCGAACACTTTCCTTCCTCCCGCCGCCCCCAGAACACCAAAATCCAACTGGATTACATACCTGTGTGTGCCTGCCGGCCAAGCCATGATAAGAAGAAGGAAGAGGCTTCTAGCAAGCCATAGCCCTCGCTTCAGGATCCCTCCATCCCCTCATTTTTTTTCTCCGCGTTTGTTGTGCCCGTGCCTCGAACGGACTGACCACAAGACATTATAGAATAAAGAGAGAGTGTGTGTTAAGTTGGAGGGAGATGAGAAGAGAAATGAAAAAAAATGTCATGTACATCGACAATGGGCGCCGAAGGGAAGATGACTGCCAGATGAAAGAGAATGGAAGATCAAAAAATAGAATAAAAAATAATAGTCGACAAGAGAATGTTGATATCATATCCAAGAAGCTTCACAAATTTTACCAAGACGACTGCAAAAGAAGAAAAAAAGTTGGATGGCTCAATATGGGTCAAAGATGGTAAAATGGCTATGTCCAAAAAAAGATGAAGACAAAATGATCCCATCACATATCCTCAGTAAATCTTGACCCAGATCCTCGGGACCCATCCCGGGATACCAGACTCCGACCGATCGGGTCTGGCAATAAAGAAGCACGTGCGGGCGGACTTGGAGGTCCATGACTGCCAATCGGTGACGCCGGCGTTACCGGGTGCGTGTCATCTGAAAAGGGGCTTGTTGCTCTTGCTCCCGTTGATCCTCCATCCTGCTGAACAATCGCGGTCCTCCCCGGTCCTGACCTAAAGACGGGAACGCCGCTTATGGGCCGCATCGGGGACCCGAGTTTGAGCCGCTGCCCACCGAGGTCAAGGGCGCCCGTCGTCCCATCGGTGAACGCTACGGAATCCCGATAGTAGACGCTCTCGTGAGGATCCGGGTCGCTGTACCCATCTCCCCCAGATTCTAAAACGGATATCAGCTTCTTGCCTGATACCCGGTAAAAACCCGGTTCTGAGGCCGGAGGCTCAGTTGACGCGGCCGAGAATCGCTTGGCCCCCGTAAGACTGGCAAGAGCAGACGGGACTGCGTATGGAAGACCGCTTTCTGTCATTCCTCCTCCTCCTCCTCCTCCTCCTCCTCTTCCTCCAGTTCCTCCACCGCCTCCACCACTACCGCCTCCTCCTTCTCCTCCTTCCAGAGCTCCTCCTCCATGCTCATGTCCGCCCCGTTTCCGGGCTGCGGCCGCCAGGCTTCCACCTTCGCCCAGCAATCGGATGTTGCCGCCGCCGTTTCGCTTCTTCCATTTTAAAAGGAATAATAACAGGAACGCAATAAGGGCCATGCCCGCAGCCCCGCCTACGACACCTCCAATGATGGATCGCTGAGCGGTGGGCGTAAGTCCGCTGGAGTTGTTGTCCGTGTTGTCGGGGTCGACATACGGGGAGTCGGTCGTTCCGGCGGGGCTTGCGGATTCGCCACCAGCTCCCGCATTGCCGCTGTTGCCTTCTTCGGTCCCACCTGCTACGAGAGTCGGCACACCTGACGAGATAGACGTGAATTGAGTGGTTGAAGCTCGGCTTTTGGTGGAAGAAGCGAAGGTGGATGTCGAACTTGCAAAGGTTGATGTTCGGGTCGTGTTTGCGAACAAGGAATGGGATACATGCGTGCCGTTGGGATAAAACGATGGGATGCGAGCTATACGACAAGGCGCGCACACGGGCAAGGTGTTAGTCACTCACTGCGCATGGATCAAATCTATCTGGATGGGGGAAAGGATGACACAAAGGAAGGAAGCATATGCATACTTGAAGAAGAGTTGAAAAGTCCGGAGGATAGCGATAGTGTGGGGAAGCTCGAGGTGCCATCATGGTAAGATGCGGACGAGCTGTTGAAAGGAGCGGACGTCAAGGCCCCCGGCGCAGCCACGCCGGAGGACAGAGACAAAATAGCGGACGTTACAGACGACTCCGTGTCGACGGAGGCAGTTGGCGACGGTGTCCCATCGCCAAGTTGCGGAACTGAGACGGGCACGGTGGGCAACTGGCTACCCAGATCTCTGACCTCGGCAGTTAGCACGGCCACAGGGTCGGATGACTGTGTAACAGGTTCGGATGCCAGAGTCGAGAAGTGGACGAGAGCACCGGCGTCATCTATGATCTTGATGACGGACACAGTTTGGACCACTAACACTTGACGTGCATTTAGTGGTTCGGGTTGTTGGTGCGTATCTGGAGATGAACGAATGTCGAGATGTTTGTGGTCCTGGAGAGTGGTGTTGTCGCCGTCTTCATGTGATGGTTCCTGTGCTTGTTGTCCGGAGGATTGGTGGTGGTAGTGAGCGTGGTTGTGGTTGTGTATGTGGTGTTGGTGTTGGTTAGGAGTTTGATCAAGTTCCTCTTCCGGACGGAGCTGGCCTTGTTGGTTGTGTTGGTGGTGCAAATGGCGGTGGTTGTGCCCAGCGCTGGAGCCTGTATGGGAATGGTCGATATTCTGGGTTTTGCGGGCCTGAGAGAGTGAAGGCCCGCCAATGTGGTTAGTCATGGCGTGTGTTGTGGTGCCTGCAGCCAGGCAGCCCAGTGACAGAGAGGTGGGTTGTTCCGAGCGCTTGTTTGGAGGGCGTTGGGTGCGCGATGTGTGGCTGTGTAATCAACGAGCGACGAGGGTTAAACGAGCGACTTGTCCAAGATGGACAGCTTTGGGTGACTTTTTTCTCTCTCTGTTTTCGCGGGGCCGGGGGTTGGCCAAGGAATGTGGGAGTCGGGCTTCGTGATCCGGTGATTCTGAGAGGACAACGGTTTCCCGTATTCGAGTGCGCGGGTGGCCGGGTCGGTCTGCAATAGTTCGTAATCGACAGCTGCGAAGCTACGCTGAGGATGGCGGCGACGAGACGATGGAACAATAGCTACTCAAGGTATTGGTTGGCTGGCGCATTGTAGGAGATCATGGGCAAGATCTCGTCGAATCCATCCTCGGTCGGTATAGTAGTCCTGGGATCCAATGCTTTTTTTTCTTATTTTTTTGTCGGGTTCGGCGTCCACCTCTTTGATAGTTTTCCCCTGTCGGAGTCTTCTCTTGTCTCAATGGCCCGCCGCTCACAAATGGGTAAAAATGGTAAAAATACGCTCGCCGCCTCGGCACTCGTCCGCGCTGTGATGGAGTCAACTCGGCCTCTTCAGACTGTCGCCAACATGCCTGGTTGAGGGAATGAACGAATGAATGATAGAACAAGAGAAACAAGACAGCAGCCGGGGGAGAGAAGGGACAGGCAAAGAGGAGAGAAAGACCAAAAACATTGAATGAACAACGGGGGGCGGGCTGCACAACGATAATAACCTCCGGGACCACGCCATCCACTTCCATAGTACCATACCCAAACACCCATACCTCTGCACATCCATGGGCTCGCAGATGAAATTAGATGCCAAAATTGGGCACAGCATGCCCTCGCAATCCTCGCAGCCGTCGCATCTGCCCTGCAACTGAAATGACGGCGGCATGCTCCCTGGTCTTGATCGGGCCCCCCCCCCCTGGATGGAGGTGCCGTCCACGCCCTCTCCCGTTCCTGCCTTGGTTGCCCCTGCGCGGCGTTGAGCTGCCCTGGGCTGCCCGAAAGGGTCTCCGCTGCGGGATCCCTTCTAGCGCGGCGTCCAACATTCAATGCCTCGATGGGTCCATGTCTGGGGGCATTTGGAGCCCTTTTCGGGGCCAACTCCAACTCGCGGGACCCAACACGTTTCTGCAATTTCGCTTCCCTGGCCCGATGTCTCTCCTCTTTGCGCTTTCCCCCGTAGGTGGCCCACCCAGCAAAACCCATGAATGCCATGGCAGGCCTGGCTCGCTGGAATCCACCCTGGCTGGGATGTGGTTCATTATTGGCCCACCACAGCCGCGTACGTCTTCAACATCTGATGCCGTGATTGGCCCGCTGTGCAACTGAGAATGCACTGGCCAACGATTGATGCCCGCAATTTCCACGACGGCCCATACAAACAGCAAGAGCGAAACAATTGCAGAGCACTGGTGAGACTGGGCATGACGATTGTCCTTCGCATGCGGATGGATACGGCGAGGCTCTTGGGAGTTAGGGGAAGCTCCTGAGAATCAGTGCAATCACGATGCAAGAGGCACGTCTTTTTGCGATCAACATTTGAAACACTCGGGATTTCCCTGATGGGCGCAGCAAGAGACTCGTACCCCGCCAGGCCCGCCTATGTAATGGGACCTGGTTGAACCTGAGTCGAGTCAAGACATGCAAGAGCTTAGTCCATCTTAAAGCCGTGACCGATTGATACGAAGCTCAATCTCATTTGGGCCTGGGCAGTTGCGACTAGTCGTTGGCATCTTGCAAATGCCGCAACCGTCACACCTCGTGTCGTGCCACTGCACACCTGAAGGGACAGAGCGATGATACTTACAGTAGGTGCCTTTTTAGGTACAGATAAGAGAAAGGCCCCATCTCCTCTATCAGCCTGGCAGTCTATGTACCTATCTCTGAGGAGACCTAACTTGAAGTCTGCCTCTCGCTGCCCCTCTGGGTGTGGCTTAGCCTTGGTCAAGCCTTGAGGTTGTGCTGATAGGTACCTACGTGCCACAGCGAGGTACATCGTCCTGTTGAATGTGCTGGTTCAGGCTGATACAGCAAACCCAGACCAGCCAAACACACCCCAGAATTCCGTGCACCCACCGTGACAGTGGCATCTTCCAACGCGGAAATCCCGTCGAATTGGATATTAAACGTTCAGGTCAACCGATAAATGATACCTGGGATACGTAACCACCTTGTGGTCCTGAGTTCATTGCAGGAATGGATGTGCAAGTTCCGGCCAGCCGATGATCCATTGGTGTCTTCCTGTCTCGCCTACCCCTTTCAGCTGTAAGCGGGCATCGTCAGCTAACCAACGTCCTGCACTAGAGCCCCAGGTCGACCTCTACCGTAACCCGCTGTATGTACCTGAACCCTCCAACCAACCAACCACTGGACCAGATGTAGAACGAGATCGATGCCCTGCTCACGTCAACCAACCCCCACATCAAATCATGGAACCCAGAACACTCGCAAGTTCACTTCCAATTAATCAAATTTCAACTTGTTTGTTCAGAGCAAGTTCGTTTCAAATCCGTGTTCAGTGGCTGATCCGCCGAGGGCCATGCCATCTATTCAAGACCTATCGCTGAAAGGGGCAGCATCGTCCTCGTCAGGAGGGCCATCAACACGGCCGTCCTCCCTACAGTTACAATCACCTCTGCCAAGCATCGCCGTGGTTGATAAAGAGCAACAACAACACCACCACCAGAACGCCCCGGAGTGGACGGCAGGCCAAGGGCACGGCCTAGACAATTCGAGTCCCCCTCCAGCGAACTATCCATATTCACAATGGAACAGGCCGGCCGACCCTCGAACCTCGTCCACACAGTCCTTGGCCCCTTCGACCCCGACGGGCAGTTACAGGGACCCCAGGAGGACGCTGCTCGTTATTTACATTCATGGTTTCATGGGCAACGACTCCTCCTTTCGCTCCTTTCCCGCCCATGTCCACAACTACCTTCGACAAGCCCTGGCCGAGACACACGTCATCCACTCCAAAATCTACCCCCGCTACAAGACTTACAAGTCCATTACTGTGGCCCGAGATAACTTCAGTAACTGGCTTCTGCCACATGAGTCGCCCACCACCGATGTCATCTTGATCGGCCATTCTATGGGCGGCCTGCTGGCTGCTGAAGTTGCTCTGTTGCCACGTCAACCTCAAGATCCTCCAGCTTACGACGACTCTCCCTTTCGCCATCGTATCTTGGGGACTTTGTCATTAGACGCTCCGTTGCTAGGCCTCCATCCAGGTATTGTAGTGTCTGGAATTGCAAGTCTCTTCCGTAAGGCTCCGAGTCCTCCAGGTGCCACGAACGCGGCGCAAGAGTCTCACACGCTTTTCGCCCAGCAGTCGCCAGGGCTGTCACCAGATGCGTCAATTTATTCAGAAATCTGTCCTCCTCCGGAGGCAACTTCTCCCATACCCAGGCCCACACCACTATCAACAACGTCGTCTCCCTCAGCACCGGATCCTTTCTTCAACCCAAAGTTCTTCAATGACGTGTCATTTGTGGACCGAGGATGGTTGAAGAACATAGCCCACTTTGCGCAAAAACACAGCCAAGAGAACCTTGTTGAGGCAGCTACTAACCACATCATATCACACTTGGAGTTTGGCGGTTGTTTGGCCGACTACCCCGGAATGAAGTCCAGGTATAACAGGTTGAGGAGGCTGGAAGATGTCGATGAGTTGAAACAGTCCCCAATAAATAATGAGCATCTGGTCAGAGTGCGGTTCGTGAACTACTACACCATATCTACAGGGATACTCAAGGATAAGGAGTCTCGCAAGGGCAGTACTCCAAAGGTTGCGTCAGAGGTTGCTGCTCCAGAAGACGGCCCTTCGAAGTCGAAAAGGCTTGAAAAGGCTCCTGAGCACCGGGAATCATTCGATACCGCGAGATCTCAGACCTCGACTCCGCGGAGCTCAACCGAAGAAGATTGGGAACTTACAGAGCTGGAACCCGTACCCGAACCAGATGATGGACCCGTCCATGGGCGTGTGGAAACGGAGGACAAACCCCCTGCATACGTTTCTCACGAAGAGCTTGACAAGACTGCCGAACATTCCATCAGTAACACCAGCGGAAGCGGCAACGGCAACGTAACTGAGCCCAGCATAGAAACAACCTCACTCCCTCTACCGGACCTCCCCCCGATCCCAGACACCCCCTCGCCGCCACCCGCCATAGACCTAAGCTCCATAAGCGACAAAGACGCTCGTAAACAAGCCGAAAAGGACGCCAAGCAAGCGCGGAAGGAGTACGAAGCAGCAGTTAAGAACCGGGACAAGATTCTCAAAGAGCGGTTGAAAATTGTCGAAAAGTACGAGAAGGCGCAAGCCAAACTTGCAAGGGACATTCAAAAACAGCAGGAAAAGCTGCGTAAGAACGCCGAGAAGCAGGAGAAGAAAGATGAGAAGGAGTGGGGACGGAAACAAAAGAAAGAAGAGAAATTGAAGGCGGAATCGACGGCGAGCAGGATTGGTGAGTTGGAGACTCACCATTTGGCTCATAATCAGAGTTTGAATGGGGGATCGTTGTCGGCGTCGCTAGGGACCCCGGCTGGTGAGAGCAGCAGCAGCGGGAATGTAACGGGAAAGAATAAAAGCAAGAAAAAGGAGAAGGGAAAAAAGCCGAAGGGGGAAAAAGAGGACAAACAAAAACTCCGCAAATTCTGCATGCTACCCTCCAAGATCAACGGCATCATGGACCCAACCTGGATTCAAGTCTACATGGAGGGAGTGGACGAAGTTGGTGCTCACTGTGGCTTGTTCTTCGCGGGGCCGCATTACGATAAGCTGGTGGGGGATGTCAGCTCGAGGATCATGGGGTGGGTGCAAGATGATGCGAGCAAGAGGTTGTTGCTTGAGGGAATGCAGGGATTGGATCTTGATTGATTGATTGATTGATTGATTGATTGAGTGAGTGAGGGTCTTGTTGTTGGGGGGAGGGAGAGGGTAGATTGGAGGATGGGAGAATGGGTACTAGGCGACGGGCAAGCAATGGGGAATTGAGAGATATATGATACGACAGACACTCAATGAGACGAGGGGTCTGGGACTGGACCCATCCATGACAGATACGCAGGCAACAGAGGATAGCTGAGATAGTAAAGGGCTGCGTAGCGTAATGAACCATTTAGTCTATGCACAAATGCGATCAGCATCACGAACCAACTCGGCTGCGTAGGGGCACAGGAAGACCATCGTCCATGTACCTCAACTCAACACTATAGGAGCATGAATGGGCTTTGTTCTGGCCCATTTGTTCCATTCAACTCCATTGTTTCTTATTTTAAACTGTCCTTGTTTTACCCGTCCGTCAATCACTTGCCCTTCCAATCCCGCTCGATCATCTGCGTCTTCTCGTCCCATCCATCCATCCATCCATCCATTCATCCATCCCATAACGCGCTCAATCTTTTGTCTAAACTTTGCGCTACTCGAAACGACAAACAAAAACAATGAACAGCCGCAGTCGCAAAAACAAGAAGCGGAAACGAGAAGCAGTAGCAGAAAAGCAGGAACACCAAAACACAGCAGGGCCGAAATGCAAAACCAGAACATGAAATGAGACGAACCACTTCCATTAACACAAGGCCATTGGAGAACTTGCTTCCTTAGTATTCTCTGATCTGAAATCCCTCTCCTCTGTTATTATAAAGTCGCAAAGTCATCGAGCCTCTCTTTTTTTTCTTTGCTTCTTCGGGGCAACTACCTAGTAGGGTGTTTGTGTGCGCGAGGCAACTATGATCGGTCTAGCAGCCATGATCATCACCACCTTCCCCCTCTCCGCAAAACCTTGCCAGCCGGCTCGGCTTGTGCTTTGTCATACATCTAATCCCTCTCCCTCTTCTCTCCCTAACTAAGGGACCCTACAGTTCCATCGCGGGAGCGCGCGTTCCCTCATCCCATTCAGTATGGTATCAACCTTCGCTTACCCACCCCCCTTTACCAAAAGGACTAATAGAGGATATCCATGTCATTCTCTTCCCTTTCTTCCCTTGTTCGATTCTTTTGTCCTCGCAAGGGCTACCGGATTTTTTTCTCGAGGAGACGTGAGAGAAGAACAAGAAAAAGAGAACACCGACCCCCCCCCCCCAAAGTATGCAAATACTCAGACGATGTAGAGGGTATGTGGACCTCATTTTTGCATTCTTGTGATAGAAAAAGACCAGCCGAAAAACCAAGTCGTACGTGAAACCTTGATTGAATAAACGTGATGTGAAAAAAAGCAGACAACCCCCCCTGAACGCCATGCTGGTATATGTCGTGTTATGTGGTTTGGAGAAAAACAAAGCAAGTAGAAAAGCCAGTGAAAAAAAATAAAAAAGCAAACAGCCGCAGACGTCCCTTGTTCCGCAGATGAAGCAACAGACAACAGAACCTTTGGTAGGTTTAACACCGCCAGTAACTGCTGTGTGTGTGTGGACAATGAGGATGACTCGCACCACTTCCCCGAGCCAACCTCCCGAGTACCGCCCGTTATGCCACTTTATCCCAGACTTTCGCCATAGGTGTGAGCCTCAAAAAAATCTGACCTGTCTTCCGTACCGGTTTTGTCCCACTAAAATCCGGTCACCCAGGTATCACCCTGAACACTGATCAGGCGGGTCGTTTAAGCCATTCGCAATGCACTGCGGCATTTTGCTCGTGGCTTTCCGTAAACGTCTCGCAGGCTCTCGACGATAAAACAGTTGGTATCTGTCGCAAGGGTGGCGGCTTGGCGTACTCGTTCCTCTTTCTGCCGTGCGAAGGGGCGTCATATCCCAGACACGCCATGATGGCCATAGCTCGACTGCTGCCGGGCTTGCGCATACGACTGAGTACCGGGCTGAGCCTGTATGATGTCAGCAAAGGGTGCCCCAATCTCTCAACCGGGGACGTTGCTTCCAATAAGCACCTTTTTGCGACGCTTGAGGCCAGAGGCCATGTCACCCTCGCCGGTGGAGTATCCCGTTTCCAGCCCGCCATCGTCCTCGAATCCTTCGCCGTAGCCCTCAAAGCTGGAATCACCGTAGCCTCGCTTCTTGATGTTGCGTCTGGGCCGGTTATCCTGGAAACCGGGCGTCTGCGGCTTCACACGCTGCATAGCTGGGCCCCCGTAGGCCAAAGGGGTGTTGGGCGCCGTGGGTCTTGCCGATGGCGGCTGATTGAGATGAGCCTTCATCGAGCTCGCTGCGATATCCCCGAGAACCGAGTTGTTCCAAAGGGTAGAAGGGACGGTCCCCCTGCTCATAGTAACAGCCCTCGAGATCTTGCTCTTCATGTCTGACGATAATCCCCTGGTGATCTCCTTGCCTCTAACAAAGTGCGCATTCCACTCCTCCTGGGGACAGCCCATGAGGTACTCTAACCTCTCAGGGTCCTTTTCATCCGTCTTCACCGAGTCAAAATGACCTTGCACTCCCAGCTTCTTGATGTGGCCCTTGTACGTCTTGCGGAGCGCATTCTTCTGGCCGTCTTTGATGCGCGCATACTCAGCAGCAAGATCCGCCAAACCATACATCTCGAAAAGGTCTTCAGACAGATGAGGACGAGGCGGTTGATGCTCTGTGATTGTCAATGTTAACGAAGACTCTTCTCAATGTGCAACAACAATACCGAAGATCGGTCACCCAGCAACTGGCACGGGGTGGGAACAGGAAAGCAGACCGAGAGATAATGCCCGTCGCTGCGGCAACATGAGCCACAACGAGCGGGATCGCTTCTCTCGCATATGCCACTGCTGCTGCTGCTGCTGCTTCTTCTTCTTTTGGGTGCAGGTGAAGGGAGCCTTACGAGATCTGCAAAGGAGGTATTTTTCACCAACGTCCAAATGGAGGTCGTCAATACCAAGTTTGCGGTCCTCGATGTGGACTTTCTTCTGCTCTCGATCGCCTACATCGTCGGATGTACGCTTGCGCTTCTGGGGGGAGTTTTCTCCCATGACAATGTCTGTGAACGACATGTCGTTGGCGAGGGAGCTTCCGTTCACGCTGTGGGCTGGGGTCGGCAAGGTCGTCGTGGTGGAAACTATGGAACCTGACATGCTTGTGGATTGATCACTCGAACTGGGCGAGAAATGCGAGGGGCTTTGCGGGGTCTGGGGGTGAAAAGACATCATTTTTCAATGACGGCAAATTGGTGGAGTCGTTGACGAAGTTGGGTTGAGGCGACAGACAGCGATGAATAATCGACCAGGATCCTTGGCGCGAAAGCGATTGTCTGTCTTGTCCGCTGCAGAAAAGTGGCGGTCCGGTGACAACAAAGGGATGCCTGCGTCGGTTCTTTCCTGACAAACAACAACGAGATTTCACCGCTCCCTAACAGCAGGTGGGTGGTGGTGTCACGCTCCGACGCTGAAGCGGATGTGACGCGATCCTACTAATCGGCCGACGAAGCCCGATGATGACGAGACAGCGGTGTCAAGAGGGAGTCAGAAAGCGGGCGCTCGTCGAAGGGGGAAGAGTGTTTTCGCCGTGTCGAGTCGCAAGCGTAAACCGGCGACTGTCGCAGAAGCTTTCGCTCTCCGCCCGCGTGCAACTCCCCCAACTGCAGTTTCCAACTCGATCAATCCAGATGGCGGTCGACAGATAACCCGGGGGGAAAAAAATCGAAAAGCAAAGTCGAAAACGAGTCGACTCGAATGGCGTCTCGGTGATCGCAGGCCTCGTGGCGGCGCTCGGCGATGCTGGGTCGGTTAGGCGACAGGTTTAATTGTCGGTCGGTGGTGGTGGTGGGTTTTGGTTGTTCGGTTGATGATGGCTGGAGTGAACAAGACAGGGCAGGGCGTTCGCTCACCTTGGACTTGGAGGCGAGCGGGAATGGAAGGCAGAGTTGGACGGCCCTGGCCTTTCAGCCAAAGACGGGACGGACTGCAGGGCCATTCGCCAGCCAGCAGCGCGACGCACCTCCACAGGTTTTCAGCGGAGCACTGTGTCACGCGCCCAGCCTATCATACAGTTTTACAGTAACCATCCGTAACTTTACACGGTCAGTCGCCGAACCTGACCAATCTTACGGCTTGTCTAGACAGCTGAGTGGAGTAAAAACTCTTAACAGTACACCACCTATCTACGTAAGTAGTGTAAGTTTGTAGCGGAAACCCGGCGTCGAGTCTTCATGCCCACCACGGGCCCCCCGACAGTGACAGTCGACTTCAACGTGTGGTGAGACGACGGACCTTCCAGCCTTCACACTTCCAGGTTCTAGTCTTGGCATAGTCCGGAAATCGTTGCGCCGGCCAATCGGCATTCCCACTTCCCGTCCTTTTCTCGATTCTCCCACCCATCTCACATTGTATGTATCTCCGCTGCTGAGGCTTACGGCTCGGCGGACAGATCAACTCTGCAAGACATGCTGACCTCGTGTGCCTCTTTACAACCGTGCCATGATTTTGGATCTTGCAATCTGGGACGGGTGTTGGAGAGGTATCGCGGAAAGGTCTGGGAGCGGTCTCGTGTATCCAGCAGCCATACATCATCCCTTGGCAAATGATTCGTCCCTCTGAATGCCAGGGGAAGATGTTTTGCATTGAAACGAAAGAGCCCTGAGACCAGTAAATTGCCCATACTACCTTTGATTACAATATGCGCAGACAAGGAGCGATTAACGACAGGATTGGACAACAATGGTGCGCCGGTTTGGACCCTGAACTACGTGAAGAAATGTCCGAATTGTCTTGATGCCATATCGTGTACGGTAGCCTGGTGGTGCCAGGGTCTGGGTGGGGAGCGAGAACCGGACCGGACTTCGCTTGTCGCATCATCGATGTTGATGGGCAAGATACGGCAATGGGAAGAAGCCAACCGAAGCCTTGTCTACGGTTACAAGATCGACCTTTGTTGTCTGGCCAGCGGGTGAGGCAAGCGAGCTGAGAGGGATCTCTCAGCTGGATACCCGAACGCAGGATATCTATCTATGCACACTTCTCGTAAAGTTGATACACAAGACCGATTCTATACTGCGAACGCTGCGCAATCTTTGGTAACCGATTGCGATATCACGACAATTTGCAGCTGGCGGCTGAAGTCCACCCCTCGTCGCTTTCATTCCGATCCAAAGAACAAAACCAGGCTTGCGTAGTGACTTCTCGGTCGCAACTGACCACATACATATGACTGCCAAGCAAGCAAACCATCGAATCAACAACACCACATCACGATCCCCAGACAGACCACGCGCTGTCGACACAAGTCGTATCAAGACACGGGCCCTCCAGATCTTCACGGAACCCAAGCAGCAACAAGTTCGCGTTCCCAAAGCCCGAAACAGATAGTGTAGGGCCATGCATTCGTCCGTGGTTTCCTTCCTCACCACGGCCCCTCGACAAGGAACCGTAGGCATTGAAAGATGAAGAAAAAATGAAGAAAATCTCCAGTCCGAGAAAGGATTGTGGGTTGCCAAAAATTCCCCAGCCAGCCGAAGCCAACTGAGAGCGGTCAGGTATGTAGTTTTCAACTAGCAAAAACGCGATCTCGGACGAATCCTCACTGATACGCGTAAAACCCCTGCACTTGGATGGAGGAAAAAAAAAAGGAGAAGGAAAGTTGAAGATTGGGGGAAGGGTTGGCTTGGTTAAATAGGCGCGGGGAGGTCCCGAGCCCTGGTCCGTGCACCAGTGCAAATTCCGGGAGGAATTCTATGGCGGGCCGGCAGCGGGCTGAGGCGGGACTGCCAAGCTGTTCAGGCAGTCGGCTGTTGGCTGTTGGCTGCAACTTCCATCTCGTCCTCTTTCCATCTTCACTGCAGTTGTTCACTTCAGTTCCTGTTGGCAAAGGCGTCACGCCGGGAAGGCTGCCCAGGTACTATTGCCCGCAGTAGTGAGTAGTGAATGAAACACTGCAACTTCACTGCAAGCAAAGGCATTTAACTGTGTCACAGTCACGGACTATTGTTCTACTCAACCCTTTTGCTTTTACACAGTTCTCACTTATTATCACAATGCAGAGAGGGAACAAGGCAAGCCAATTGCTTCCGAATAACAAGGGAAACTCGTGTAGGTACACCATACAAAGGAACATGAATATTACACTCATCGTGCTGGGCAAACCGTCTCTTCTTCAGTCCGCCCTCCTTGCGCGATTCATATGGTACAAGGGTGTTGCCGGTGGTTGCACACACGCATTCACTTCTGCTGCTTCTTCTTCTTCTTCTTCTTCTTCCCTGTCTAGTATCTCGGCGCCCTGACGAGCACCTCACCCAGCTTGGGACCCTTTTGGCGGAGCCCCTGGACTGCTACACGGGTGACGAGGTCGCTTTGGTGGTCCTTGATCATCTCCTTGAGCGCGCTGCGCTCAATCACTATCCTGCCCGTCTCCAAAAGGTCCTTGACATCGACATCCCACAACTCCAAAGCGCGACCCTCGGCACCGGCCAACTCGAATCCGGTGAAGAGGTTGGGGCGCTTGTCGCCCGTGATAAAGGTCGTCCGGCCAGCCTCCTTGCCCCAGTTCAAGCTGGTCATGAACTCGTGAACCCACTTGCGGACGTAGCCGTCCTCAAGCTCACGGCTAAGCTTACCGCCGCCGGCAAGCCAGAGGAAATCGTTAGGAAGGGGGAGGTCGAGGCCGTCCTCGGTGACGATGAGCTCGCCGCGCTTGTAGCGGTAGGATAGTGCGGTGCGCCAGGCCAGATCGTAGACCTTCTTGTTAAGCTTCGTGCTGAAGTCGCGGGGCTTGGGGCCGAAGGTCTTTCCACCACCTTTCATCAGAGGTGACTGGCGGGTACCACGACGGGCGTTACCGGTACCCTTCTGGGGACTCATCTTTTTGTGCGAACCATGAACTTCGTAGCGTGTCTTTGTGGACGCCATGCCCCGTCGTGTTGAGTCACCTTCGTAGATGACGGCCAAGTGGAGGATATCGCGACGCAGCGGGAGGTGAAGGTGACGGGCTGAGTAGGATTCGAGGGAGCGCGGCTCGAGTTCGGGGAAGGAATAGACGGTCACAGGAACGTTGGTGACTGAATCGTGGGTTAGTACCTTTCCAGCGCGGGCGATGTTGTCGAGGTTGGCAGTCGTGTTGGTGCTCATACTGGGTTGCCATGGTTCCGAGACCGATCTTGTGATATTGGCGGCAGGAGGGGTGGCTACGGAGGCCATCGACCGTCTGCAGGGAAGAATAGAGGATTGGCGCATCTAGTGGACATGGTTTGTACTGGTGAGCGAAAGTCGTCGGCGGGTCAGTAGCAAGACGGTGGACGTATGGAAGACGAACCGGCAGTGCCCTGCATGACTTGGAAGCAATGCTCAGCGCATTCATGGCCTCGTTGAGGCTCTTGAGACCCTTGCCGGCCATGGCGGCGTTGTGATATGGCAAGGTGACGGGAGTTACAAGGTAATGCAACTCGGATGTGATGGTATGGTGGTGCTCGAGGCAGTTGTTCGCGGGAGGAAAAGAGAGACTAGCAACCACGGGCCTGTGCGGACGGAAACGTGGAGCGCGCTTCGGGGCGAGGGAGGGACAACGGAACGGGACCGAGACGGGGCTCTGACGGGATATGCGGTGGTCGTCGCGGGCGCCGGTCCTCCCAGTCAAGTCGCAACGATTCGGCCGACGAGGGGACTGGACGGAGTCTGGAGAAAAAAGATCTGGAGTGCAACGTGCACGTACAGTGCGCTGTAGCCATGGAGTACCCGTTCCTGGCGAGCTTTCTCGCGGGGCATGCCAGCTAGCTGCAACCCCCACTACAAGTACTTCCAATGAGCGCACTGTGCTGCCGGCCCCGGGGTCCACGAAATTTTGGCCGCAGTTCGAGGCCGGGCAGGTGGGCTGCAGCATGGAACGAATTGAAGGACCACGAACCCTCCGTCCCGTCCCTGTCCCGTCCTTGACCCCGTCCTCCCCGTCGACGAAACCCTGAGTGCAGCTCCTCTCGATTGAGAGCGATACCGCACTTCGAATACTCTCCCCTCCGGCCCGCCTGCACACATTCCCACCCGCCATGTCGACGTGTCAGCAGGTCGCGCGGCCACTCGTCCGCTGTCTCCGGCAAACCGGTCCCGGCGCTGCGACATGTTCGACCCGGTCCGTCGCCGTCGCCGCCGTTAGGCCCTTCTCCTCGACTTCGATGCGCAAAGATGAGGGCGCCACCACCACCACCACCTCTCCTGTCGACTCC